CCTCCCTACTTCTGCTGGTCACACTATTTTTGATACAAGCCAGGATGCCGTTGGCTTTCTTGCCCCCCTGGGCACACGGCCGGCTCATATTCAGCCGCTTGTCAATGAGAACCCCCAAGTCCTTTTCCGCCAGGCAGCCCCAGCCACACTTCCCCCAGCCTGTAGCGCTGCAGGGGGTTATTGTGGCCCAAGTGCAGGACCTTGCACTTGCCCTTGTTGAAACTGATGCCATTGGCATTGGCCCAGTGATCCAATCTCTCTAGATCCTCTTGCAAAGCTTCCCTCTCCTCCTGGGAGTCACCACTCCTGCTTAACTTGGTGTCATCTGCAAACTTGCTGATGTTACATCCTCACTGCTCTCTCTGGGGGGAGGTCTTGCCCCCGTGGTCTCCCCTCACTGCTCTCCCCAGGGGTCTTCTGGCACCTCTTGTGGTCTCCCCTCATTGCAGGGACCCCCCCTCCCCAACCAAACTCCGGGTTTCCATCTCTCCCCCAGGTCTCCTTAAACGCCTGGTTCTGGTCCACCGTTTTCCACACGAGGGACACGGCTGTGACGGAGGTGAGTGGCCTTGGGTTTGTCACCTTCTGTCCCCTCTCTCCTCTTGCCCAGCCCTACTTTGGGGGGGGAAGAGAGGTGGGGGGGGAAGATTGTGTTCCTGGAAACTCCCCCGAATGTCTCACCCACCCCCAATTCCTCAGAAACTGGATTATTTCTGTGCTTCGGCCGTCGTCCTGCACTCTGTCTACCTGTGCTGCGTCAGGTGAGCCCCCTCCGGCGCCGTGGGGCAGGGGACACACAGCCTTGTCCTCGGGGGGGGGGGGGGGGGGGGGGACTCCTCCTCTTCCTCGCCTGCCACATCTCCTACCTGACCCTCGTCCGCTTCGACTATGGCTACAACATGGTTGCCAACGCGGCCATCGGTGAGTCGGATACCAGGGGGGGTTAGAGATGGGTTGTTGAGGGGGGGGAGAGCTGTACCCCAAAAAGTGTGTGTCTCCCCAACCCCAAATCTTGCCAGGGCTGCTGAACCTGGCGTGGTGGCTGCGGTGGTGCCTGCGGAACCGTCCCCGCCTGCCCCACGTCTGGAAGTGCGCGGCCGTGGTGCTGCTGCTGCAGGGGCTGGCGCTGCTGGAGCTCCTCGACTTCCCCCCCCTCTTTTGGGTGCTGGACGCCCACGCGCTCTGGCACATCGGCACCATCCCCCTCAACGTCCTCTTCTACAGGTCGGTCACACCCCCCAAAACGCACCCCTTCCCCTATCC